GGGGGGAGGTATTGTTTGTTTTTTGCTATCCTGGGGATCAAACTCAGGGCCTGGCAAATATAGTAGGCAAGTGTTCTACCACTAAGCTACACCCTACCCCTACTGACAATTTCTGAAGAACTATACAATATTATGCAGAATCTAACTTGTTTAATCTTAAATTATTCCTATCTGAAAACTACAGTCATTGTAGGGTCATCTGGGAACCTTTGTACAGGCACCCAGAAAAATGTACAAGACAGTGTAGTGCCCCGGCTGCTAGAGGCTTTCTGAAAACCAGCTAAGCCACTGCCATTCTGATAGTACGCTATGTTCTCAAAACAGTCTGATATTTCCAAACACATTCACAGGACAGTTAGAACAACCATCAAAAGAAAAAGAAAACAAAAACCAATAGCATCACTAATACAAAACCTATTCTTATTTATTTGAGCTATGACCCTAGTGCTATTTAAAAAAAAAATTAAACCCCTCAATCCCAAAAGAATCCCATAGCAATTAAGTGGAAAGAATTCACCAACCTGTTACAAACAGATCTGGGTTCAGTCTGCTAGCACATCCACAGCGCACATAATCAGAATGTTCTTTGAATGTCATAATTTCTTTGGTGTTTGGTATATCCCATAATTTAACAGTATAATCATCAGCCCCAGAGATCACATGGTATTTATCAGCTGTAAAATCTACCGTATGAACTGCTCTGAAAAATCAAGAGTCAGTATATTAAAAAGCAAGAAAAAAAGATATTTCTTGTATCTTTTAACATAACATGGTTTTCGTCTAAATTTTAAAAATTGTGCAATTTCACAGTATTTATAGAAGAAAAGCCTTTAAAACAGGTATTTGCTCCTAAGTCAATTAAAAAATACAATGCCACGGGCCAGGGATTTAGCTGTGGTTCCTCCATCTACCTTGCAAGCTAAGGACCCGAGTTCAATCCCCAGTACCAAAAAAAAAAAACCAAACAAAAATGTAATGCTACTATACTATTAAGTTAGTACAAATGCTAAGGAGTAGCCTTAAATTCTATTTTCTAGTATGTTAGTAACTCTTACCCTCTTAATGAAAGTGAATGTTCTAATTTAAAAAAAAAAGAAAAAAGAAAATGATGCATGTTCTAAACGTAGGA